ACCTACACCGATCCACGCCTCCAACTCCACTACCCGTATCAAGGACGCTTTACCCCTCAATCCACATTATCTTCAACACTTCCCCCATATATTTATTTGTACTGCAGCTAATATTTCTGTTTACTCCTGTCATTTGTGTGGTATATTGTACATAAAGCATGTAACCCAGGGACCAGTTTAAGTAAGTTGAACTATGTTTTCAAAATGTCTGCATAATGTGCGCATTGAGAAATATCACTTTTCAGAAACATTTGCATATTCCCGATTTATTATCGAGGAATGCAAGGGCCAGTAAGAATATTCCACGGAAAGGTCAACGCGAAAGGTCATACATGTATGTCTGACTATAAATGTTTTTTCTTTGTTTGTTTGTTATGCTGATTTAGCTTGTTTTAATCAAATTTTAATTACTTCAATACTTGTGTATTTTCTAAATCACATTTTCACGTACGACGCATAAAAGAATAAAACCGTCTTATCTTCGGCTATTATTTTTGAGTTCAAAGTAACACGAGTCAGTGTGTCCACTTATACCACAGTATTTAAGTCTGATTCCGTGCTTATATTTTCGTTGCATAGCTACCAATTATGTTGCTATGAAAGCGTTCAACAAAAACTAGTGCGCATAAATGTTTTCCAGGTTGAAAATGTACGTGTCTTTCGTTCATTTACTGATGGGCATCAAATTCAAACTTTGACGGAAAATTCCGAAAGTTTTCCTTTTGGCCCTTGAAGGAAGGAAACACGAGCATCCCCACAGCAAGTATGGCTGTTCTACCATTTGGTGAAACATGATTTTTTAAATATCACGCACAATAAAACAACAACAACACAAAAAGTACTCGGAATACCTTGATTACATGCTATCCAGCGGTACTCCTTAAAAGCGTCTTCAACCGACAACAAGCGTCTTCAAGTGACAACAAGCGTTGCCAGACAAAATCTTTTAAAATACCGAATAAAGTAAGCGACATCAGAAGATATGTTGTTAATATGACTATAATACACCTCTGTACCAAATTTCAGCTCGTTGTTCGATAAAATGACCGAGTTATGATGAATTGAATTTTTACGATCGAGGCGTGGCACATGTGTGTATTCGCATGTAAAGTGAAGAAAGCGTCGCCAGATAATATCGTTACAATTACTCGCTAAAGTAAGCGACATCAGAAGATATGTTATTAGTTAGACTTTTATTGATATACATTCCAAATTTCAGCTCGATATTTGAAAAAATGACCGAGTTATGATTGATTTATTATTACGATCGGCGGCGTGGCACACGTGTGTGAATAGAACTCAACATATGAAGAAGCGTCTTCAGAACATATCTCTAAAATTCATCGATTAAGTAAGCGACATCAGAAGATATGTTATTCATATAACTATGATACACCTTTATACCAAACTGCAGGTAGATATTTGAATAAATTACCGAGTTATCGTGAATTTATTATTTTACTATCGTCGGCTTGGCACACGTGTGTTAATAAAACTGTACAGATCAAGAAGCGTCTTCAGACTTACCTCTTAAAATAATTGATAAAGTAAGCGACATCATGAGATATGTTATTCTTATGACTATGATACAACTATATACCAAGTTTTAATTTGATTTGTTGAAAATGATTGAGTTATCGTGAATTGAATTCATACGATTTACAGAACGTATAAGTTGGTTCGACAGAATGCCAGGGTTTGGCGATGAAGCGATGAACATTGCTATTGCAGAGTATTTAGGATTGTTTCCTTCAGAACCCTCTATCCACGGCCGTTCTAAACGTACAAAACAAGAGTATCAGCGCGCAACCCTCGCTACAAAAGAGGCAATCCACGATAGGTTAGTTAACAAACAGACTTCGAAAGCCATTCTAGACGACATTAAGTCACTGGACGATTCTATGAATGAACCCAGAGACCTTAAGCAAATTCAGAAAGCCAAGCATCTTTTGCATAAGAAAAAACGTGACAACAACCAACCAAACAGTTATAGTCAGAATACGGCGGACGGACTTTTAAGTGTTCTCAATGAAATCCATGACAGCAATTTCATACAAGAAGTGAATGTTACAAAAGGGAAACCCCCTTCAGTTGTCCTTTATACTGACAACCAGCTGACGGATATGAAAACCGCTTGCACCAAAAACGGCGCAATTTTAGGAATTGATAGGACATTTAACCTTGGACCATGCTTCGTTACTGCCTTGGTTTTTAACAACCCCAACTTGGTTAGAAAATGTAAGCAAAATTCTCCTATTATGCTTGGTCCTGTTTATTTACATTGGAATGCGACCTTTTTCACGTACTCGCGGTTTTTATCGCATATTGCCAGTGTCCTTGATCTTGACTTTGACCTGTGTGACCTCGTTATAGGGTCTGACGAGGAGAAAGCTTTAGTTAAGGCCATAGAAACCAGCTTCCCTGATGCCACGCTTACTTTCTGTACACGACACATACAGGAAAACGTTTCGAGACATTTGTCAGTTAAAATTGGCATGACTGATAAAGACAAGGCCCCGATCATGTCATCAATCTTTGGTGAAGATGGTTTATTGAATTGTGATTCAATAAAAGAATTCAATACCATTGCACAAAAGATTGATGAGTCATATGGAACACGCTTAGGAAGATATTGGTCAGAAAAGATTTTACCAACGATTAAGCGCAGGGTGATTGAATCGAGATTGCGCAATGCTGCAATTCCAAAAGGTTGGAAAAACAACAATTGCGAATCGATGAATCACATCATCAAATTTCTAGGGGACTGGAAAATATCAAAAGTTCCCGAGCTGATTCAGCGTTTGGATACCATTCAACAATCGCAGTACTCTGACGTACGTAGATCGTTACATGGTACCGGAGATTATGAATTGGCCGCGCACGCGCAGCATTTCAAGTTGAGCACAGTCGTATGGCGGGAATTGTCAACGTTTGATAAAGCGCGCAAAGTTGACAAGTTCCTAAAGCATGTGTGGAAGAAAACAGACTTTTTAACTTCTACGAATGGTATGTTAACAATACCTAAAACCGCAGCAATCGCCAAAAAACCAGGGACGTGAAAACGTGTTCGCGCGAATCGCACAGAAACTCACGGTCCTGTTAAACAACAAAAGTTGTAACTTAGTTACCTGCTGACAATTACGCTAAAAGAAGAACTTTTTTTACGCTTTCACAACACTATCCAGTATTCACTGTTATCCAGTATTCACTGTAGCATAATATCAATTGTTACCCATTAACTACTGTTACATGTACCAAGTATTCACTGTTATCCAATATCCACTGTTCTCAAGTATTCACTGTTATCCAGTATTCACTGTTCTCAAGTATTCACTGTAGCATAATATCAATTGTTACCCATTAACTACTGTTACATGTACCCAGTATTCACTGTTATCCAATATCCACTGTTCTCCAGTCATAATTGTTAATCAGTTATCATTGGTATACAGTATCCATTGTTATCCAGTATCCAATTAATTGTTATTATATATTCACTGGTATCCCATATCCACTACTAGCTAGTATATGCCCATATCCAATATTCAATGTTATTCAGTATCAACTGTTAACCATTATCCACTGTTACCCATTATTCACTGTTATCTAGTATTCAATGTTATCCAGTATCCACTGTTACCCATTGTCCAGTGTTACTAAGTATTCACTGTTATCCGGTTTTCACTGTTATCCAGTATTCACTGTTATCTAGTATTCACTGTTATCCAGGATTCAATGTTATCTAATATTCACTGTTATCCAGTATTCACTGTTATCTAGTATTCACTGTTATCCCGTATTCACTGTTATCTAGTATTCACTGTTATCCAGTATCCACTGTTATCCAGTATTCACTGTTATCCAGTATTCAGTGTTGTTCAGTATTCACTGTTATCTAATAATCTCTGTTATCCAGTATCCAACGTTACCCATTATCCACTGTTACTAAGTGTTCAGTGCTATATAGTAATCACTGTTATCCAGTATTTACCGTTATCCAATATTCACTGATATCCAGTATTCACTATAATTTGTTCGGTAGGCATGTTGTACGTGTACTGTTCGCGATTTTTTTTCTGATGAATTTATTTTTCGTTTCAGCAATTAGGTTTGAATTCATTAACTTTAATTTTGTATAACATGATATGATCGACGGAGATAGACTTGCTCCTGGGAGTAATGCAGCCGGTTATCATTTTGATTTTTAAATTATTTTTCAAAAAAAAAATAGAGAGAGAATATAACCAAGTGTATGTGTGATGTTCTATGATATTTGATCTAAGGATGTGTTTTTTTTATAATACTTCAATTGCAACGATCTGCTTACGGTCAAAGGGAGATAATTATGATGTCAAGTACCGAGTTATGTGCCCCTATCAGAACTCTTTAAGGTAGTAGAGAGTGTCAACAATAAGAGAAAGCATGGTGGTTTGGCGCAGAAATATCCACGGCTCTCATTACTTCGGCCATTTGTGAAGATAACGATCAATACAACGATAATTGGAAATATTGACGGAACTTCATTAACACCAAACTGTCGACTCACGGTAAAATATGCAAGGTCACTTCTGAATGAGCGAATTTGTTGTAAAACAAAAATGTGTCGTTCTTTTCAGATGGGGGCGGGGCAGTGCTCTTCGTGTCTCTAGATGATTCTTTTGTACTGTTGAACTTCTCAGTCATGGTATTAACACCAAATACTAAAGGGGGTAATACCCGTGCAGCGTCTCTTATAAGGTTGGTTGGTTGAAGGTTTATTGCCTACATGTCCCAACCAGTATTTGATCCCTTCTACACATCTGACAAGCAGGCTACTATACTGAAACGCTATTGATCATTCGGGTCAACTTCACTGATTTGGTCGAGCGATTTCTACATTTCTACTTCTATGTACTATGCTAACCCTGGAGAGTCAACGCTGTACTTTTTACATGTATCACATGTACCTGTTATACCTACACATATACAAACTTTACCTCTATTTTTGTTTGCATTTGATTAAAGGTGGTGTGTGTCAATAGGTATCCATGGCTGGTGTTGATTACTGTACAGTTCTTCCATCCTGGGAGTTTGACAAGGACCCAGCGTGCGTTGTCTCCTACCTGTTTGACAGTATTGATGGGTAAGCATAAAGTCAGATGGAACATAAGTGGTGACCTCCCTTCTATTCCATTCTAGGTGGAACACTACTAACATGAGTTTCAGTATTTATACACTTACATATACCATGTTAGAGATGATCAAGTCTCTGCAAAAAAGCTTACACAGTTAGTTGAGTTGAAAAATTTACTAAATTGGATCATCTTGTACACTTATCTATGTGAACATGTACAATGAAAATAACATTTCACTTTCCTAATTGGTTAACAGATCAAATCTGCATCAAGTGAATTTTGCTGGCAGGTTAAATCATTTGATACAAGCACTCATGATACTGAAATGTTTGTATTACAGATTATCGGAGGCAAGTGCGGCAGATTATGTTCCCCCTAACAACTTCATGAATAGCTGTCTGACCTTGGAATGTGCGAGTAATGACCAACTGACCGGGGACTCGCGGGAACCTTGTACCCTGTCCATCACCAGTAAGCCACAGTATCGGGTCAGTGTCCTTGGAGTAGACATCATTAGTCAGTCAAGGTTGCTGGAGGTTTACGATACATGTGAAGGATACATGATGACGTCGCGGGGAAAGCGTATCCCCTGTTTAGATGCAGAGGGTGGAGAAAACAAGAGTGATATGTTCAATTGCAGAGTCAGGCTCAAAGAAACCTTATTTGGATTTACAGTTAAGGTATACAAAAATTTCCTGTTGAAATTTTCCTCAAACTGTTATATTAAGGCCAAAACAAATATGTGTGTTTCAGGTATCCCGACCTACCCTAGATTTTACTGCCGACCCTAGATATTGTATCACCTACTGGTATCTATGGTTAATTTATTAGCCAGGCAGAATTCACAGCTACTCATTAAAATGTATTTTCTTCCTGTTCTGGGGGTCTGACCTTATTATTGACAAATTAATAGCCATTGTAATCGGTGGAAATGCATTGTAAAATTTGAAATAAACCATAATATTAATTCACGAAAATAAAAAATTAACATTAAAATGAAATTATTTGCCTACCGACCTACCCTATTTTTTCAGCCATGTTACCTAAAACTATTTTTTTTTGGCCTAAACAGTTTTGGGTGTTGTTTGATCAAAGACTTATATTAAGAATTTGAATGAGGGTGTTAACTTTCCATATCCTTTTAAAGAAGCATTTCCTTGTTTTAGTATTTAACTTTTCAAGCATTGAAAAGAAATTTTCAATTTCCGTGTCCCATTGGGGAATCAAACCCTAGCCATATTGGTGCAAAATCTGCTTAATTTAAAACTTAAAACTCATATACAACTGTACATGTATTGAACAAAACTAGCGAAATTCTTTATCAAAATTAAAAAAATTTAACATTGCCTCCAGAAGCACAACAACTCATGAGATCAATGGAGCAATATCACAGTGAAACCTTTCACCCCTATGTATCTTTAGTAGACTCTACCATGCATTGATCTGGGTGAGTCCATTATGGTCTACAGTGGTGAAAGGGTTAAAGGGATAAATCAGGTTTAGGATGATTGCCTGAAAAATAGTAACAAAAAAGTAGTTGAAAAGTTATTTCGCAATTATCACATTTAGAAAACTTGGGACCAATTTGGCTGTGAATATCTGGTACCTGGGATAGTTTTGAAATCAATAATTGATATATATCATTACATACCCTGTTATTTTTCTCTATCTTTAGTTTCCCAGCACAAGTAACATGAAGGAGTTCAATATCTACAACATCGTCGTGATCCTGAATCCGGAGACAGGAGATGAAGGGAATGGTGAGGTAGCGCCCACCTTCAACATGGGTAAAGTTAGGAGTTTTGTGGACACAGAGTCAATGTCTCCAGGCGCACAACAACTCATGCGGTCAGTGGAACAATTTCAACAGGTAAGGAAGGATTGACCAATCAGTACAGTATGTTCCTTAATTGCTGTAAAATAAAGTTAAATGTCTGACAGAAGACATTCAAGAAGTGTGCATTTCACAAAAAACACTGCTCTACTAAAAAAAGAAAATCAAATGGAGTTATCCCCCTTTGTACGGTAAAAACCATCATATACACTGATCAATCCCATTCACTTGCCTGGAGTATTCCAACTTATTTCATTGGAAAAGGTAACACTTTAAGAAACTATGTCAAAATAGTGATTAAGACAAGCAATTCTTGCTCTGCCAAATATAGAGTTATCTCCCTTCCTTTGAGAAAACAGAATTTATCACACATCCTTGTCTGGAGCACAGGGTCATGTTACAAATGTCTGAAATACACATATGCTATACTGATACGGGTCACAACCCACATAAACATAGTGTGTTGTGACCCGTATCAGTATAGCATATGTGTATTTTAGACATTTGTAACGTGACCCTGTGTCTGGAGCTTAAATTATAGTTTTGCAAACAACATTAAGAAACTTCATAGACATGATAAGGCCAACAAGACATTGTGCATTGCTCAAACACCACAATGCATGGTGCTGCATTGAAAATCTGTCTGTCACATTTCTTTGTTATATGGCACAAAAGACAATTTCCAAGTACCGGTAAAGTGAATTTTTTTTCAAAGAGACTACATCAATTCTACTGATTCTTATATTTTAATTCTTATAAAAAATATGCTTTGGTCTATGCTTTCAGAACAAAAAGAGTGCTGTATCGGGCCTACAGGGAATGTTTAGTCAGTCTTCGTCCAGGTCTGCGGGCTCTTCCTCAGGACCAGGAATGATGGGGCTCATGGGTCTCATGTCCATGTTCTCGAACATGTCTTCAGCAAGCCAGTCAGGGTCTCGGGACACCCCAACAGGTTCAAATAGCACACAACCTAGCCAGATAGATTCTAGGGATCTTCCTGAAGCTAATAATAATTTGGCAGCAAGCCAATCAAATGCAAGGAATATTCCACAAGCTGTAAATAGAACAGAAACAACCCATTTAGATGCTAGAAGTAATACTCAAGCTTCAAATAAACCAAAAGTTAACCAACCATCTATAAATAGCACAGTTACCAGTCAAATGAGAGGAACACCCCTGCAAACAGATACAGCAACCAACACTGCGGCAAGTCTACATGAGGCATTACCGTCATCACTGAACTTATCTGAGTTAAGAAACGCTGTGGTAGGCTCATCCAGTCTGAACTCTGGTGTTAGTGCCGAGTCTGAAGGAGGTGACATGTACCAGATGCTACAAAACATATGTGGTCGGGTGTCCCAGATGAGAACTGTGGATCCCGAGGAGAATAGATTAGTGATGGAAACTGGAATTGAACAACGACACTCGGACATCCCTCAAAGGTACGTAATGGATGCTTTAGTCTATCAAAAAAGATACATGCTGGAGATACTCACTTGTCGGTACAGTCAATCTTTACAAACGTAAATGTCATGTTAGATATGTATTTGTCGACATGAGTTCCTTAATCCTTTCACCCCTATGTAACTTTAGTAAACTCTTCCATGCGTTGATCTGGATGAGTCCATTTTGGTCTCCAGTGGTGAAAGGGTTAACAAAATATGCAATTTTATTACCTTTTTACCAACGAAATATCAGGAATTATCAATTTGATAAAAACTTTTATCTTCTTCGTAATGAAAATAAGCAAAAAGTCATATCTTCACATGTGATAATATAATTTCCTTAAATTGATTTTGTATTGAACAATCAGAATATCATTTTTGTCCACTGTATTCAAAGCCTTCGATATTGTGCAGATGAAGCCACTGTAAAATATGTGTTTTTTTATGTATGCGTACGTCTTTGGTAATTACTTTAAGTTATTAGCAAATCTGCATAATTGATAATATTGTTATTAACATCACATTACATCGTTATCATATGACGCCAACTACATCCCACAATTTGTTGATACAGTAATATTTTTGTCAATTGGTATGCACATTAAAAAATACAAATAGAAAATTTAATGTTTCCTATCACTAGTATAATAGAAATTTTCTCCGTTTCAGTCAAATGTCTTCATGTACAAGCCGATTATTTCTTATTTTATTAACTTGATAATTGTTTTGACATTTGTGTTATTTTTCTGTTACCTTGCAGCAGACTTGAAGGAGACACCGGGGAGGCAGAAGGTCAAAGTTCACAGGATGAAACTGCTGGAGGCCACAAACTTGCACGGGATACATTAAGGACAGTGGTGAAGAGTTGTATGGAGGAATTTGAACTACGACTTCAAACACATATAGATAATAGGTTATCTCAAATAGAACAGAAATTAGAAGCCAAACTGGACAGTATACTTGGTGTGTTGCAGTCAGTGAAGGGAGATAATTCTCCCACACCCACGGAGAGAGTCACACACATTCACGCAGAGGGTGCCACTCACATACAGACTGAAGGAGCCTCACACCTATCCACATATGGTGACACATACAAACCTGTAGGTGTTAATACATGCATACCCACAGAGGGAACGTCACATACAAACATTCAGGGTGCCACACACATACACACAGACAACCTGCTTACGCGTGACCATACAGGTAACACCACACAGAATTACACAGAGGGTGCCACAGTCATACACGTACAGGTAGATACTCACACACCGACACAGACAAAGGTAGATTCTCACACACCGACTCAGACACAGGTAGATACTCACACACAGACACAGGTAGATACTCACACACAGACACATGTAGATACTCACACACCGACACAGACACAGGTAGATACTCACACACAGACACAGGTAGATACTCACACACTGACACAGACACAGGTAGATACTCACACACCGCCACAGACACAGGTAGATACTCACACACAGACACAGGTAGATACTCACACACCGACACAGACACAGGTAGATACTCACACACCGACACAGACACAGGTAGATACTCACACACCGACACAGACACAGGTAGATACTCACACACCGACACAGACACAGGTAGATACTCACACACCGACACAGACACAGGTAGATACTCACACACCGACACAGACACAGGTAGATACTCACACACCGACACAGACACAGGTAGATACTCACACACCGACACAGACACAGGTAGATACTCACACACCGACACAGACACATTCACCCTTAGGTGAAGAGACTGAGAAACCAACAGACTTGCACTGGGACACATCAACAGCAGAAACAAGAAACCAACCTCCAGAAAACCTCACAACTTCTCTAGTAATGGACGATGAAAGTGGAGAACATTCCTGATACTGTAGCATGTGTAAATGAAACAAAGGACAAGGAAGCTTGTGTAATCTTGGATTTTGAAAGTGAGAAATATTCATGATATTGTCACAATCTGTGTGAACAATAAAAGATGGAAATTAATTACTGATTATTTCTTTAATACATGTAATTACAGCAGTTCACATTGAAATGAGGATATACTCAAACAATGGGTATATATTATACAATATACATATGTATTTCCATGTCAAAAGTATAATCACGGAATTAGATCAGAGGGCTGCTATCCAAGTCCATGGTACAACTAAAGCTTGATAAACATTTTTTTTGTGTAAATTGACACCATGTGTAATAAAAAGGTTGTAAACCTCATAAGTTGTGATTTAGAAACAATTTCTCTAATCTGATTAAAACCCTATTTTGATCTTCGCTCTGTTCTATTAACTATGTAGCAGAGTGAGGTGTTTGTAATAGAACGAAGCATAGATTAAGATGTGGTTTTAATCCGATTGACTTTCTCAAAAATTACCAGTAACCTTTACATTGAAAATGACCATTCTATACACAGTGCACATTGCAAATCAATTTTAGCTCCTAAAGCGGGTCTAGCTTAATACTAATGATGAACTAGTTTATATTGTTACTGTCAGTCTGCGATACAGCTATCACTAAAGTCAGTGACAGAGGAGTGCCTTGTAACCATGATGCAGCAGGTTGGTTATTTCGAGGGACAATGTGGATGGATGACAAGGCAAAGGAACCAAGAGTTGGATTCTTGTCATTTCTGCTCCCAAGAACAGGATGTTTCTGTACTTTTTTTAAGCTCACCTGGTCGGAAGGATCAGTGGGCTTATGCCATTGTGCGGCGTCCGGCGTCCATCGTCCATCATCAGTCTGTCGTCCGTCCATCAACTTTTCCTTTAAAACACTACTTGTCCTGAACGGCCAAGTAGATTTTGACTAAATTTGGTCTGGAGCACCCTTAGGTCAAAGACATTCAATTTTGTATAAACAGTGGCTGTTGCCCTCCTGGGGGCAGAGGGGAGGGGCCCAATAGGGGGAATAGAGGTAAAAGCTTTGAAATCCTTCTTCTACCATACGGATGAAGGGATTTTATCCCAACTTGAGCATCCTTCTTGCAAGGGGACTTAATTTGTATAACCGGTGAATGTGGCGACCCTGGTGGCAGAGGGGCAGGGCCCAATAGGGGAAATGGAGGTAAAATCTTAAAATGCCTTCTTCTTTCGTAGGGATAAAGGGATTTTGTCTTAATTTAGTCTGGAGCATCCTTGGGCCAAGGGAATACATTTTGTATAATTGGAGGGATTTTATCCACATTTGACCTGGAGTATACTTTGGCAAAGGGGATTAAATTTTGTATAAATGGAGGATATAGTTCCTCTGGGTTCAGAGTTGTGGAGCCCAAAAGGGGAATTTGAGATTTAAACATAGACGTATTACACGTAATATACGTCTCTGGTTTAAAGGGTTTTGGCCACGATTTTTCATAATTTTATATTTAACGGTCATTTGATGCAATAATACGTGTACGTAGTGACAGAGACCCCGTCTCTCTCGGTCGGTACTCAGACGAAAGACAGGTCATTGATTGATTGATTGATAGGTTTTTACGTCCGCTTTNGCATATTTTGGGCTATCTCTACCGTAACATTGTCCGGATTTCAAAGTAAGTGATCTTTGCTAAACTTATGTTTAAATATGATTATGTTTGTTTTGTCGAATACCAGAGAAATGTCGCAGAATGCGAAAGTTTATAGTAAACATACAGCGTTGCCAACTTGAATTATTTTATGGCTTCACACCCGCCATCGAGATCTACTTTACTTGCTAATAAATAGATTATTTTGACATNGTATACTGTGCCGCCGTCAGCCCCATCAGCCCCGCCTATGTTTAAGAA